ACACCCTAACAGGGAGCCCGCACTGGGGCAGGAGCCTCCCACTGCCAGCGAGTCAGTCCCAGCTCTGCCACAGCCCACGCGGACCTGGTGACCTGCCTGCCTTTTCTTTTCCTTTTTTTCTTTAAAGAATTATTTAATTTTATTCATTATTATTTAGTTTGCTATAGGACACATGAACTCACCAGAGAGAGACAGAGAGAGAAAGAGAGAAAGCTGCTGGGTCCGGGACTCAAACCGTGGCTGGCCATGTGAGAGTCCAGCGCCTTAGCCACCGTGCCACCTGCTGGCCCCTTGCCTTCCTTTCTGATCTCTTCCCCTTTCAACCCTCCTCTCTGCTTTTTCACATGGGCCTTCTTTCATCTCCTCAAGGCCTGGAACTCGGCCTCATCCCAGGCTTTGCACATGCTATTCCTGTTGGGAGAATCCCTTCTCTGGAATATCTGCCTAGGTTCTCCTTATCTTTTTAAAAATGTTACTTATTTATTTTAGTTTTGCCATAGGGCACATGGGCTGGCCAGAAAGAGACAGAGACAGAGAGACAGAAAGTGAGAAATCACCCCATAGTGGGATGGCCACACCACAATCCCTTCTCCTCCATCCTCCTCTTGGGATCTTGGGCACACACACACGTGCCCAGCATGTTTTCTTAAGCCGGTGGGTCTGGAGCTCGAACCACACAGTTGGCCGTGGGATGCAGCATTTAACTTCCACACGCAGGCTGGCTCACCTCCTCTTAATCTTACCCGAAGTGCTGCCTCTTCCCTGAGGCCCTCCCTGAGCAGTTGGTCTACACTGGAAGTCCCAGGTAGCGTTCCCCTTGGTACTTAACTCACTTTGTTATTAGAAGTCCCTGGTCTGTTCACGTGTTCAAAGCCTGTTTGTCTCCATTAAACCCTCAGCACTACAAGGGTAACAACTGCGATTCTGTCTCACTCTACACTTCCCCAGAGCCCACAGTACCCGACACAGGGTCAGGACTCCATAAACACTTCCGAGTGAGTGAGTGAGTGAGGGTGAGGGCGATGCAAAGTGCCACAGTAACAGAGACAACAGCTCGCAGGCCGACGACAGCTCGCAGGCCGACAATAAAATACAAGCGACGGCACACATAAGGAGTCAAAGACCAAGATGAACAAAATTGGGCGGAAAGGCCAAAGCCAGATGACCCTCAGACGAACAGGAACGTTCTGAACTCCAGAAAAAGGGGAGGTGAGAGTGACCAGAGAAAGCTTTGAAGGATGGGGATAATTATAAGAAATGAAAGAAAGTGAAAAGCAATCAGCACTTGGAAGAAAGTCTATTAATTAGAATTGCATTCATCGGTGAGTAACAAAAATGCCAAAATAACGATGGCTTAAGGGAAACACAAGTGTCTTTCATTCTCATAAACAAGACGAAGTCACCTGGGGCCCACGGTCTTTCTATCTTGCTTCTCTGCCCTCTTTAGCGTATTGCCTCGTGGCCAAATGTGGCTGCCCATGCTCTAGCCACTACATACAGAAGCCATGCAATACAAAGAAAGAAGACAAAGAGAAAGGGGCAAGAGATTTAAGCCAGGTTCTTTGACCATCTCATCGGCCAGAATCTAGTTATACAGCCTGTTCTAGCTTCAGGGAAGCCTGGGAAATGAAGTCACGCTTCTGAGCCCAGGCAAATGCCAGGGTTCTGTTATTAAGGAAGAAGGGTGGAGCGGAGATCGGGATAACCCAGTGGAGCGTCTACCCTAGGACAGAAAGCACATCCTATTCGTGGGCGTGTGGCAGATTGCAAAGCAGATTGCGTGATACACTGCAGTTCCTCCCTTCCAGAGGGGAGTCCATTTCCCCACCCTCACTCTGGGCTGGCCTGTGACTTGCTGTGACCAATGGTATGTAGAAGTGACAATGAGCCTGGGGCTTGAGAGGCCTTACAGCTTGCACTCCTGCTGCTCTTCCAACACGTGAAGAAGCCTGAGCTGACCTGATGGAGCACAAGAGACCATGGGACAAAAGACCTAGCCACCCAGCCAGCAGCTCGGCAGCTGCCAGATGTGAGTAAGGCCGCCCAGGACAGCCCGCCCTCATGTGAGCACACGCGGACCAGCAGAGCTGGCCGGCAGACGTGAGCAGAATCGTTACTGTTTTAAGTCTCAGTGTGGCTTGTTACCCAGCAGTAGCTAGCTGATACAGGTGGAAAAGGCTGCGGTGAGGACCAACTGAAAGAGTTTGCGGGGTTGCAAATGAGAGAATTCTTGGGAGGCCGATGTCAAAACTGCTTGTCCTAAATAATCTCACTGCTGCTTGTTTAGTGACCACTTTCAAAACAGGACAGTCTTTTGGAAAGCCAGAGTTCTTCCCAAAGGCTTCTTATTTGAAGAGCACTAGAAGAGGGGGTCAAAAGTTCCAGGCTACTGAGGCTAGTAGGTGGCATGGTGGTTAAGGCGCTAGACTCCCACATGACTGACTGCAGTTCGAGTCCTGGACCTGGTGACTTGCTTTCTCACTCTCTCTTTGTCTCTCCCTGGTCAAATTGAACAATAATAATAAATTAATTATTCTAAAAAAAAAAAAAAAAAAAAAAAACAAAAAAAAAAAAGAAAAGAAAAGAAAAAAAGAGTCCCAGGCTCCAATACTCTACTGTCAACAGCAATCAGCAAAGCAAGTCCTACCCCTTCTGTCCACAGGGTTCCCATCAGCCAGCGCAGTGTAGACTGCAGCCCAGAAGTTACGAGGAGGCCCAGGTCAGCCACCTAGAAGGAAACAAGACCACGCTGGGACTCAGAGAAATGGGACGTGAAACGGGGCACCAGAAAGTGGCAGTGACCCCTGAGTGGCCCAAGAGGCCTTTGCCCTAGACAGCAGACAGGAGGAAAGGGGGCTAGGCCAGCCCCCGCACAGCCACACCATCCTCAGAGGGACTTCATGCCCCTGGAGGTGACTTTGAAACCACTCCTGATCCTTCTCCAGCAGAATCACAGAGACCCGAAATAAAGGGTGACCTTGGTCCACCTGAGGTTACTCTGAGAGGCGGCAGAGCTGGGATTTCAGCCCAGATCGCCCGTGTGCCGTCCACTGTCTCGGCTCTCCCTGCCGCCCTGACCGCTTCAGCCCCGAGCCGGGGCGACGCCGCAGCCTGCACCCAGGGTCTGCTGCGCACCAGGTGGTCCAGCTGTTCTCCACCACGGCAGCTGAACTGGCAGGTGGTTTACACAGAACAGAGGTTTGTGCAGCCACGGCTCTGGGGGGCCAAGGCCAGGGTCCACATCTGGTGAGGGCCCTGTTGTGGGGCTCCCTGCAGAGGCCGAGGGGCAGGGTAGCCCATGGCGGACACTCGGGTCTGGGTCTGGGTCTGGGTCTGTGTCGGTCTTTTAAAGCCTCAGGACTCAATCTCAGGGCCCCATCCCGATGACCTCATCTAGTCCTGACCGCCTCCCAAAGCCCCAGCTCTGAGGCCTTATTCAGCTTACGTCTTCCCCCTAAATTCCATCACACTGGCTCACGAGGGTCTGGGGGATAGCTCCAGGTCATCCTCTCAGCCCGGGACTGGGCCTGGGTCTCCACCGCCCCTCCCCACTGGAGGCGTGAACAGCGAATGGACACCCAACAGCATGGCCATGCATGCTCCCGTGGTCACTCTGCGCCCTCCCCAAGGTGGGCAGCGGTCACTCCAGCCCACACTCTGGGACATGAGTCACGACTCAAGGGGCCAACATGCTACAGGCACGTACCCCAAGTCCCACCTACTGAGGCTCACCCGCTTTCCTGGCCTCTGCCCACATCCCTGGCTCCCACTGGCCCTGCTGCCTGGTCAGAACTCCTGGCTGCACTAAACCCTGTGATCAGGACTTCCTCGAAGGGCGAAGGAGCAAATGCACAGGTTCAAGTCCCGGCCGTGGTACTTGCCAGCAATGTGACCTCCAGGCCTCGTGTGGAACATGGACATGACACTCTCCCCCCAGAGGTCACTGGAAGGATTAGACAGTAACTTTTCAGTCAGAACATAGGGGTGAGCACATGTGCCCAACAGCCCCGTAGACTGTCAGCATGGCCCTTCCCCTGGATCATCCCTGGGAACTACATTTCCCAGCTCCCACCTGCTGGCTTCCTGTCCGGTTCAGCCAATCAGAGAGCGGCGGGGTGGGCGGGCCGGAAGGAGGAGAAGGCGGTTGCCTACTCTGGCAATGCCAGCCCCAAAGGTGGGGAGCGTGTAGAGGGCAGCTGTGGGCCCGGGCCTCCCGCAGGGCCGAGGTGGTTCTGCAGCTTTGCAGGAGAGCAGGCCCCCGGCGGCTCGCGGGTGGCAGTGCCTCGGCTGCCCCGCTGAGAGGTCACCTCGGCCA